ATCACATCATTTTCTTACTTTTTTTGTTGAAATCTTGCAATAAAAATATTTTGATTGACCTCACTTACTTATTAGAATAAGAGAATAATTATATTTTTCACCCATTTGATCTCAATTTTAGTTAAATCTCTTGGTTGTGTTAACAATTCACTAAAAATAATATTGTGGGTTCAAAATTAGCTAATCAAGTTCTCTGGAATAGAAATATAATTTCTTGCAGATATTTAATGAATAATATTATGATAAGGCATTCAAAGTTTGTTAAGACTCAAGCATTAAAACAATTACTAAACAAGAAAATAATGAGATAATCTGACAAATTTAAGAAAACTTGAAACTCCACGAAAATTGGATAGAGAAAGAAGATGAAGCCCCTAACCCCCACCCCGTCTCCTCTCACTTTCTAACCTTAATAGAATCAATTGAAGTAGGGGTGTCAATTCGGGTCAACGGGTCGGGTTCGGGTCGAACCCGGAACTGACCCGGCACTGTTCGGGTCAACCCGAACCCGACCCGTTTTTAAAAACGGGTCAGGTTTCTGGACCCGAACCCGACCCGATTCGGGTCCGGGTCAACCCGACCCGACACGAATGACCCGGGATTGACCCAAAATAACTAATTTTCGGGTCAAAAATCGGGTCAATCTCGGGTTTTCGGGTCAAAAATCGGGTCAATCTCGGGTTTTCGGGTCAAAATCGGGTCAAAAACGGGTCAATCTCGGGTTTTTGGGTCAAAAATGATTTTTCGTGTCACTTTCGTGTCACTTTCGGGTCAATTTCGGGTTGGCGGGTCAACCCGAACACGACCCGATTTTTAAAACGGGTTGATTTCATGAACCCGAACCCAACCCGTTTCAGGTTTGGGTTGACCCGAACCCGGATTTTTTCGGGTCGGATTCGGGTCGTGTTTCGTGTCGTGTCAAAAATTGACACCCCTAAATTGAAGCTAACCAACACCACACTCACTTTCCCACCACCTACCAATTACAAAGAGACTCTTACAAAAAAATAGCAAACTAATAAGTGACATTTTCACTTATTCTTCCACCCACCAAACAAGCACCTATGCTAATCCTTTGTCACATGAAAGTCTTTGAGCCAAGTTGGAGGTCCACATGTCTGATGGGTTTCCTTGAATTGGTCCCCTGATGTATGAGTTGGGTCCATTACGATTATATTTCTGATTTTGATAGCATCGAAGTTATAAATATAAGAAACTAATTTTAAAATATAAATATTAGTTTAATAGATTTAATAAAATTGATAAATTTTGAGATTTTGTTATGATTATTTTAATTTCAAATATAAATACCATAACTTTAATACAAATCTCAAGATATTATCACATTCATTTTATCTAAATAATTTATTTTGCATAACATTGTTATGGAACATACATCTATACAGTACAAAAAGATGATTGATTCATGAGCTCAATTAATATTTTTTGTTTCTTCCCCTCTTCACTTTGTGATAATTTTTTTTTTCATTCATTTCTAAGTATTTAAAATATTTGATGCTCCTATTTTTTATTTTATTGATATTTCCTCAGGCGGACAAACCCCAATTAAAATTCAAAATAAAATCCTTAAAATCCCAATTGAAATAAAAATATTAGCAAAATTGTAATTGACAGTTTCTTAAGATATGATTATCTTCTTATCTAATTAATCATAAGCGTTTGCCCTCATGGAGAACTTAAACCTCAAAACTAAATGAATATTATTCAATTTTAGCATATTAGATAAGAGAAAATCATTGGGAACACTAACCTAATTTTCAAAATTTGTAAGCTTTTTTTTTTTTTGGTATTTGACTCTATAATAGAATTTTATCTCTATCTCTTGAGATTGTGTATAATTCTTTATTAAGTTTTATTTATAAAAATATTTATTTTAAATTTAAATATCTATTAATTATTTGAGCCAATACATTATTTTTTTAAGTATTCATATGAAAGATATTCCCCAAATAATATAATTAGTATTATCATCAACATAGTCAATGATATATAGACCATTATTTGAATGTTTGTTTGTAGATGGTATTGATTGCAACCCCTCATGTTGCAATGATTAGCTTGAATCTTAATTATCATGTATAAGAGGCATTAATCTCATTATGAAAAACTTAAGGTTCCTTCCTCCAAGTGCTTTTGTTAGTTTCTCCTTAAGGATCCAATAGACTTTGGTGTCATGCCTATTCTAATTATTATACAGTTTTCTTCGGGAGCTATCAAGATTCTCGGTGGCATGGTGGAGTGACACTATATACCTAAAATAATCATTTCTTTCTATCATCAAGAAGACCTAGTTGATCAATATAATGAACTTTATAACAAATTTATTGCTCTTCTTAGCCCACAAGAGATGTTATATTTGTTTAATAGTTCTTTTTAGGTCGGTGCTTTATAGAGTTCTACAAGCATGAGTGTTGAAAGAAAAAAGAGATAATATGAGAATACTTTTTTGTAAAGGAGAATCCATTAGAAAAAGACAAGAAAAGATGTATAATGAGATAAGTTTAATAAATCTAAACATCACTCATATAAAATACTCACAAAAATTATATTATTATTTTTTAAATTAAAAATTAAAACTAAGAGAATCTAGCTCATAAGTCTCTCAAAAGGAATGGATCACTTAAATTTAATTAAACTCTTGGATACCTCCGAGAAACTCTATATAAGAGAAATATGCTCATCTTCTATTTTTATTTAGTGGGCATCAAAGAGTATATATACTATGAGACAATAATTAAAATCCTAATAAGATAGTTTATACTTTAAGATGAGTCAAACTTTACCACATGGTAGAGGTTGAATTACTATAACCAAGGTAGATGACCCTCTTTCCACAAAAAAATCCTATGCAATGATGATTAATAAACCTCTAAAAGTGAATGAACTCAAAATATGACCAATATAGATAAAAATACGAGAAAGGTAAATATAACATGATCATAATATCATGGATATGCCATTTCAAGTCATTAAGCTCTTGAAGGCAGTTGACCAAATAGATTGTGAGGCACTTTATCAATAACCATAAATTACATTGTCTAGAGGGGTTTCGGGATAAAAAAGGAAAGAAAAGGTGACCAAAATGCACTTGTAACTTTTTTCATATTAACAAGTGATAATGAAAGAAAAAAACCGTTTAGCCTTCAAATTGATTTGCTTAGTTAGTGAAGTGTCCATAAGGAAGAATATATGATTTAAAAAAAAAAGAATGCAAAAGAAGACACCAAGATATAAGTGATTTAGCTTATTTTCCTACGCCTATTATTATAATCTTAAAATAAGATCACTAATTTATGTGTGATAGCTTCTATAAATTTAGCTTATTTGCCTCCACCCTCTTTATTACAATTTCATTGATGAAATACAATAATCAAAAGTCACTCCTTAAATAAAAGTTAGGGTATAAATAGTTGCATTATTAACTTAAGTATGTTGTTGTGATAGAAATGTTGATGTCGTGGTAGTGTTGGGCTTTTGAAATGTAGAAAATAGCATTTTTGCTTCATGGTAGATGGTTGTAGTAGTTCTATTGAAATATGAGATACAAACACATAATGATCTAGTCAGCCTGAGACTGGCAACAATCTAACTAAAAAAATAAATAAATAGTAAATTATGGGCTTGTCAATATTTGTTTGGTGAACAGCTCTATCACACACAGTTGTGTTTTTGATAGGTCATTATTTAACTAGTATGCATATAGCCCAATGACTTCATATGGATGATTTTGATTGAGTGTGATAAATGAGGCCTTATTAAAAGACCATTAGTTTTATATTATAATGTCCATATCTTTTATAGTAATCTTTCATTGTAATAGCTCATGTAATGGTCACATGAACTCGTGGAGGACTAAACATGTTACATAAAATGTGCAGTAACAAGGAAGCATATGCACGATTTAATAAGTTTGACACATTGCTCACATGATGAAGTACCTATAGCTTGGTCTGAAGACCCTCAACTTCGAATGACGACATTGATAATCGAGCTATTGCCATCACCACTTATGTGTGACATAATGTTACACATATCATGTATGACTGTCTCTAAACCTATTGTTCAACCAATTTAAAGCCACTTTGCACTTGTTTCATATGATTTTAATATAATTGGATTGGTTGACTTGCAGTTTATTCTATATCTTTATTAAAATTTTAAAATGTAATCATTATTTTATTTAATCTTTTTTTGAGGGCTACATACCTTATGCCAAATATCATATTTGATTAGATAGAAATTTCTATGCTCTCAACACTAGTAGCTAAATCATGCATCTTAATAATATTTGACATACCTATTTAAAAAACAAATAATTTTTTTTTATTATTAAAATCTACTTTAATTATATCATATAAATACACTTTATTTATTATTCATTTAAATGTTAAATTTCACAATAATACAATCAAATTATTAGCATTTGATGCACTTATATATAACTATTTTCTAAAGCTTTATAAGATAATGAAAATTAAAAATTTAAACTTATCACTTATTTATTTATCTTTAGATTCCAATATAATCATAAAAAATTAACACTTTATAATTATAAATAAAAAAATTATGTTATATTGCAACTTGTTATTGTAACTACCTTTATTTTAAGGATAATTTCTAATGTGCGCCTCATGTCCATGCCCTTTTCATCTAGCTATTTGATATATATTAGATTATTAAATACTAAAGAGTTGTCTTGCTTGACAACCGTTGGCCACAACTGCCACTTCAATCGCAGACGTACGTTCCACCTCAGCTCCGATTGAACGGTCCAGATATAGCCCGTGAATTGGCCGTTTGGCACACTTATTCGACCCGAATTCGTTACGCAGCGACATATCGGTCCGATTCGTATCGGCGACTCCATCTCTGTCTTTCTCTCTAGAATCGTGCTCACAACGAATAGTTGTAGTTGAGAACGGCGCATAGCTGCTCTGTTAAAACCCTAGGAGAGTTAAAATGCATTGGGCTCCCGGAATTCTAGGGGTCCGCGTTCGGTAAATCTAGCCGCATTTCGTTTTTCCTTTTTCTTTTCATCCATGCCCGATAAGATCTTTCTAAATTGAGCATTATTTTGAATCTTTTCCGTTACAACATAGCGATTTTTTCTCCTTTCCATTGCCAGAATTGGGATTGTGAAGAAGATACGCGGAGAGAGAGAGAGAGATGGGAAGAAAGGATGAACATAGGCCTTTGGGAAGCTGATAGATCAAAAGAGAGCTGCAGAAACGCCGGCCGGGTTCTTTGATCTGGAATACCTGATAGATCAAAAGAGGGCTCCAGAAACATCGGCCGGGGTCCATTTTCTGGAAACCCCCGTGCCAAATTGAGATTTTGATCGTCTTCCGTCAATCCCCGCCGGGTTTCTTGTCTGGTTTTGAGGGTGGGGGTGTGGTTTTACATTTATCGAGGAAGATTTGGGGTTTCAGTTTTATAAGAAAACTTTCTTTTTGAAAGAAAGGGTGATTTTTTCTTTCATGAAGGTCAGAAGCTAGGAAACCATTAGGTTCGTCTCTGGATTTCAACCTTCTGAAGAATAAAATTCTGCTATTAGGCTTGATGCATCTCCTTTTTCCGTCTGCAGCCTGGTTTTATAATTGGGGGAAAAGCGTGGCACTTTCTGCTTCTTCCTTATGGGCTGCATTTGCTCGAAAGGAATTGAAACAGAAGAAATTGCTGAGGACTTAAACAAGGGGTCAAGAAAATCCTTAAAACAGCTTGTTACTCATTCACAGAAGGATGCTGCTTTGTTCATTGAAGCTGAAGCTGCTGCTACTAGAAGCATTGGGGCCAGCACGAGACCTGCAGTTAAGCTACTAGAGAATTTGATGCCCCCTTTTCCTAGACAATCTAATGGAGGTGAGAAGAATAGTGTGGTTGTCTCTTCAGATAGAACAGGGATGTCTGTCGGGCACCAGAGAAACAGGACTGTTGATGCCAGAGTGAATGGTGAAAATCTTCAATCAAATATATTGACTACGAAGGGCAATGGTGGGTCGAACTCAGGGATCTTCGATGTGCCAAATGGTTTTTCCGGTGAGCATGTGGCTATTGGTTGGCCGGCGTGGCTCATCAGTGTTGCACCAGAAGCAGTGAATGGTTGGCTGCCTCGAAGGGCAGATTCATTTGAGAAATTAAATAAGGTTTGTAGATCGATTTCGTCCTCTGTGCTGGATTTGCTTTCTTTGATGTAAATTGTTTATTCTTATCAATTATTTGTGATCGACCTTATGAATTCTTATTTTTTATATTTTTCCCCCAGTGTTGGATTAGTGCTAAAACCTATTTTAGGCTATATTTTTGCACTATTTCTTTTCATGTCATCTCTAGTCTACTTATCTTCTTTCTTAACTTTTCAGCAGTAATTTTATTTACTTGTTTCAATGATTTATATTCTTCATTATGCATGCTCAAACCATCAAATCAAATCACTATCTTATCTTCAACTGATGCTACTTCTACTATTTGTATGATCATTTTTCAATTTATCATACTAAGTTTTACTGCATATCATCTTAACATTCTCATTTATGTTATGTTCAACTTGGGTTTTAGTACCCATTTTATCACAGAGCATTTATATATCATAGCCAACCTAATTATAATTTTGTGAGATTTATCCATTAGTTACAAGGGTAGTAGCCTCTTTCAATTTTTCTGTCCAATCTAACTCTAGAAGCTGCTACAAGTAAAAAAAAAAAAAAAATGAAAGTTAACTTAATAAAAAGTTTGTATGTAAATTATTTTGATCACATGCTCGTTTTTTCAACTTTTGAAGTCTAGCATGCTTTTTTTCATTATATTTTTCGTTGCTATTATTATTCTTTGCAGATTGGACAGGGAACTTATAGCACTGTGTATAAAGCTCGCGACCTTCAAACTGGAAAAATGGTTGCTCTCAAGAAAGTGCGTTTTGTTAATATGGATCCCGAAAGTGTTCGTTTCATGGCAAGAGAAATTCATATTTTGCGTAAACTCGATCATCCTAATATTGTAAAGCTCGTCGGAATAGTTACATCAAGAATGTCATGCAACTTATATCTTGTATTTGAATATATGGATCATGATCTTGCCGGACTTGCTTCAACACCCGGCATCAAGTTCACCGAGCCACAGGTACATGTTTAACAAATATAAAATAGTTTTGTCCACATCAAAACTTTAACACATTGTTTTTTTGTTTGGGCTATTTTCAATTTGCTTGACCTGTATATGTGTTTTAGATTAAGTGCTACATGCAACAACTATTTCGTGGGCTTGAATACTGCCATAGCCATGGAATTTTACATCGAGATATCAAGGGCTCTAATCTTCTGATTGACAATGATGGCATCCTTAAAATAGCGGATTTTGGCCTGGCAACATTTTTCAAACCTGGCCAGAATCAGTCCTTAACAAGCCGTGTTGTGACTCTATGGTATCGGCCTCCTGAGCTCTTGTTGGGTGCCACTGAATATGGTGTTGCTGTTGATTTATGGAGTAGTGGTTGTATCCTTGCAGAATTACTTGTTGGAAAGCCAATCATGCCAGGAAGAACTGAGGTATGCCTCTTCTCTTTGATTTCAATTATAACTTTAAAATTTTTTTGGAAAAATAAAAAACTGCATTGTGATGTTTTTTCCGTCTTCTTATAGGTAGAACAATTGCATAAAATTTTCAAACTCTGTGGATCTCCTCCAGAAGACTATTGGAGAAAACCAAAGTTGCCCCATGCTACTATTTTCAAACCTCAGCGTCAATACCCTCGCCGAATTGAAGAGACATTCAGGGATTGCCCTCCGTCAACTTTGGCTCTTCTTGATACTCTTCTTGCAATTCAACCAGAGGATCGAGGAACTGCATCTTCTGCCCTTCAAAGCAAAGTGAGTTGAGTTCTATCAAGTGCTTTCATTTACTGCATCATATTGTTTTTCAAAGTTTTTAATTAACTTTGTGTTAGTTCCTTCAATATGATTTATCAAGCTCTATTTAAAGCACTTGCTCAGTAATATACTCTCTTTTCTCATAATTTGAAAGCTCATTTGTTGGTATTTTCTGTAATGAAAGACTATCCCTGTCATCCTGTAATCATGGTTGTGTTGATATATTCCAAATGCCCTTTAGTAGTAATTTTTAATGAGCATTATTACTCAATATGAATTATAAATTAGCAGTTTTGAAGTTCCTAATACTGGAGTTGTACTTTTCAGTTTTTCACAACAAATCCTCTAGCCTGTGATCCTTCAAGCTTGCCCACATATCCACCTAGCAAGGAGTATGATGCTAAGCTTCGGGATGAGGAAGCTAGAAGGTAAATATGTTGTGAAACTTCAAAAACAAACTTGGGAAAAGTCAGAAAAAAAAAATGAAATGGACATTTCTTATCTAGTAAAAGCCCTTCCTTTTTCAGTTACTTGAAATTAATCAAACCTGCAACACACTGTTTTCTGATAGGCAAAGAGCTGCAGCTCGCGAAAATAAAGTTGCAGCTGACCACAAACCTAAGCCAGGGCAGGATGCTAATGGGAACCTGCAGGTACTAAGAAAGATTTAGGCTTCGTTTGGGATGGCTTTATTCCTGCTTCTTAAAGCAGTTTTTTACTAAATAACTGCTTTAAGAAGCTGTAAAAAAACCGTCGCAAACAAAGCCTTAATGAATTTTGTAATTCTTTCAATTTCTTTACCCTTAAACATTGAGAATGAAGTGATTTGTTTACCAAAACCAGATTTCATATACTAAACTACTAACCGTTCTCTTTTAGCACCATCAAACCTAACTACTCTCTCTCTCTCTCTCCCTTTCTCATTTCTTGTTCTATATGAATGCTTCAGAGATGGCAAGGCCAAACAAATCCCAAAAGCGCAAGTGATAAGTACAGAGCTCTAGAAGAAGCTGGGTCAGGGTTTCCCATTGATCCTCCCAGAGTAGCTCAGAATGACTTACCTAACTCTAATTCAACAATGCACACAAGTGCATTTGGATCCTCATGGATTAAGAAAGATGATATGAGGATGATTAATCGTGCATCCAGTACTGTTTTGGTACCGAATGGTGCTCAGTTGAGATCACAGAAATCTTGCATACCTCCAAGTGGTGGCGTGGAGTTCGCCAATACAAGTAGTATGAGCTCCCGGCATGGTAGGCTTGATGCTGCTGAGCCGAAGGAGAAGCAGCGTGTGCTAGATAGAACTTTCTCTACTCAAAAGAGAGATGTAATGACTGGAGGCCAGGAAACTACTATAGTAAGAACTAAGAACTTATTGTGAACTTTTCTTTATTTACTAGTTTTCAACTTTTGATTGAAATTATAGTTGCAGGTATTATTAGTAATGAATGTCAACCTTGTACATGTTCTGAGAACACCAGTATAGCTTAACCAGACAAAAATGCCCAATCACTCCGAAATTAAGAAGAGAAAAGTTTAATTTGGCATTAACAAGTGACAAAATTAAGTGTTTATGCATTCATAATTAATGCTCATTTTTAAGACAAATGTATATTAGATTAGCATGGGAAAAAGCACAGACGGAGCACTAACAAACTGACACCTGATACTAAAACAATTGAATATAGGAGGAGAAAATAATACCCTTGTTAAGGTTGGTTTTTAAGCATTCAATACTAGGGGTGCAACCAAATCAAGCTGGCTCGACTTGTTAACAAGCTCGACGAGTCGAGCTTATCGAGCTCGTGAGTCAAGCTCGAACACAATTTCAAACTCGATGGCTTAATGAGCCCGAGTTCGAATACCCCGCTACTTGACTCGCGAGCTCGTCTAGAAGCTAGCGTAATTGTGTCTGCGGCGGGAAAATGAAATCGCGGGTATCATGCTGACGGGAAAATGAAAATGAAGCAGGCGCGGGCTTGTTCGGCGAAAACGAAGCTGGCGCTGATGCAGGCGGACAACGCAGGCGTGGGGTCTCATTCGGACTTTCGAGCTCGGCTCGAACACACCCTGATTCGAGCTTGACTCGACTCGTTTGCACCCCTATTCAATACTGATTGATGTTGTAAAAAACTACAAATATAGTGCAAATATTTCAGCAACATGCTATAGAAAAAAATTCAGAACATGAATCCATAATCTGCTCTCACTTTATAATCTTGAGCATAAGTTTATCCTTATTCTTTTAGTGGACCAATGCCCCCTTAACCATAGAAGCGTTTATCATTAATTACTCCTTATTTGGGCTGCAATAACTTAAAAGTACAATCATTTTGTAAATGTTCCCTTTGTTTTATATGTTTATGTCATATACCCTCATAGTAATTCATGCTTTAATGGATTCAGGGTTATGGTGGCAAAAGCAGAAAAATCCAATACTCAGGGCCATTAATGCCCCCTGGTGGGAATATGGAAGAGTTGCTGAAAGAGCATGAGAGGCAAATCCAGCAAGCTGTCCGAAAAGCTCGGCTTGATAAGGTCAAGACCAAGAAGCACTTATAGTGTGAACCTGTCTGAAGCCTTTCTTCCCTAACATAAACTGGAGTTTTAGGCTTCATTTGGGACGGTTTTCTTTCTGCTTCTTAAAGCAGCTTTTCAGTAAAATTTTGTACTAAAAACCTGCTTTAAGAAGCATAAATAAAACTATCCTAAACAAAGCCTTAATGCTCAAGAATCTTATCTAGGCCAATGTAAATGTTCTTTGTAAGTGAAACTCACCTAAAATATAGCTATTTCATTACACCATAATTCTTTTTTCTTTGAAAATTCTCATAGTTATGCACATTGCATTTGTCAGATCCTTACTGTGAGGTAGCTTTGGGGATTAGGAGTCAGTTCTTTTTTAGATCTTCCAACATAGAACAATTGGGGTGTAAACCAATATGTGAAGTTCTCATCAATAAGAGTTCAAAGGGAGATTATTATACACAAACTTTTTTTTGTGCATTTAGGGCTTAGTAGTATTTGACTCAAATTTATGACCTCCATATATATAGGCTTTTGGCTTGCAATTAACATGAAATAATTAATTCACCAAAAACTATGATATTACAATGTATTATACCCTTAATCGAAATATCTTCATAGGTTCATAGTTCTTGCTTGTTTTGTTGTATTAAAATAGAACCTTACTAAGGTTGATGATGATTTATTATTTTGTTGTGACTTGTGTTGCTGGGTAAAAGAAAACTCAAAGTCATTTCTTGCTTTCAAGAAATTTTTATACTAGAAAATTGTTTTAGAACCTCATGATAATGAATCGATATAAATTTTTTTTTGTAATATTACTCTTCAAGATACTAGTTTCTTATATGTATCTTAAATAAAGGCATTGAAAAACAATATCTAAATCTAATTTTCTATATTGCATGACATGCCAATCAAGAGTTGAGGCGTCACATTTTCTTAACCTTTGATAATGGGAATGACTTGTTTAATCGCTATTGGCATGATGAGCTATAAAAAAAATCTATTAATGTGAAAGCCATTAAGTAAATGAAGCTAAATTTTTAAACATTGATATGCATGTTGGTGTAATTGTTGAAATTTCATTCAAGAAATTTTATAATTAATCGTGTTCATCCCAGAGTAATTCTACGATGGATAACTTACTTGAAAGTTACACCAATAGGACAAAACTATGAGGCTATTAGGCCAAAGTGGAAAATATATCGATAGTTAAGAGTTTTAGTTGTTACAAGTAATCTCCTTGAGCTTCAACTTCAACCCTTATGGGCTAAGTGGAATGAGTAGGGGTGTCAATTCGGGTTAACGGGTGGGGTTAGAATCCAACCCGACTTGATCCGAGCATAAACGGGTAGACCCGAACCTGACCCGTTTAGCTAAATGGGTGAAGATGTCCAACCCGGACCCCTAGCATTGAGTTTGTTGGGTGAGATGTAATCAATAAGTTGGGATTGGGATGATGAAACTAAGGCTTCATTTGTGATAACTTTCTTATTGTTTTCTAAAGTAAATTTTTTGAAAAAAAATTAAAAAAAAATTGTACAAAAAATCATTTTAAGCAGTAGTAAGAAAGCCGTCTCAAACGAACCCAAGTGAATTGAGTTTGTTGAGAATAGAGTTAAAACTCCTAAAATCTATTGTGGGGCTGAAGATGATTTTCATAGCTATGCTCCAATCATTTAGAGTTTATCATACCATCACATTTTTCTCATTGAAGCAAAATCGTAATTATAAATAACCAAATCAACTTTAAGAACAATTTAATAGGTTGGTGTAGGCAGTGATAGTACAAAGGAAGCATTTTTCTTGGAATGTTCATTTATAATGATAAATAACACCTCCAAAAAAAAGTAATGCTGTTAAAAATAAAAATATAAGTATATAAAATATTTGATAGGAGTTGAAATAAAATAAATATCATAAGGTTAATTAGTTTGTATAAGTAAATTGATGGCATCAAAACATTAAAAAATTGATGGCATCCTTGTAAGTAGCATATATTGGCCATAATCTATTATGATTATGTTCAATGAAATTAGGCTTTGTTTGGGTTGGCTTTCTTTTTGTTTTTTAAAACAATTTTTTCATGTAAACTTTTTAATTTTTATATTAAAAACCTACTTTAAGAAGCAGTAAAAACGTCGTCCTAAATGAATCCTAAGGCTTCGCTTGGGACGATTTTTTTGAAAATTCTTGTACTAGAAAGATGTTTTAAGAAGCAAAAAGAAAGCCGCCGCTTCGTTTAGGACGACTTTTTTCTACTTCTTAAAGCAACTTTTTAGTTCTTTTATTTTTCACTAAATCGTAAATTATTAAATTTTAAGAGAGAATATTCTTTTAATGCAATGCACGAGAAGTCGCCATATAGCTTTAATTCCTCAATTTGTAACTTTGGACAAAAGATGATGAATTGGAGAATAAGCAGAGTTGATGTCCTTCTAAACAACTTGCTACGAAGAAATAACAAAAAATGTATAAAATTAAAATGAGGAATAAAATTCAATAAAGTTCTTAAAATTTTCATTACAAATAAGGCCTTATTACAATTCAATGATAAAAATTATTTAAGATGATAAAGATAATATAATTAATTAATTAAAAAATTTAAAAAAAAAAAACATAAAAGAAATTTCATGAGAAGCTACCTAATATTCTTTTTTTTTTTAAAATAACTTTTTAGTTCTAAAACGCAAAAATCAAACGGTAAAAAAGTTAACAAAAAAGAAGCCTATTTCTTCAACTTTTACACAACTCTCTCCACTGCTTTGCATATTTAGACAAATTATTGCGCTGAGCAAATAAAATATGAAAGTTACTAAAATAAACATTACAATGAGAAAGAGATTTATATCATTAATTTATTTTAAAATAAATACTACATAAAATTTAATTAATATTTAAATATTATGCAATAGAAAAATCCCAATCAAACTTAAGGGAACATTCTATAAGATGGTGGTGAGACCTACAATGCTCTATGGTGCCGAATGTTGGCCATTAAAAGAGAAGCATAATACCAAGTTAAATGTTGCAGAGACGAGGATGCTTAGGTGGATGAGTGGCTTAACCCTTAGAGATAAGATACAAAATGAGCATATACGTAAAAAGGTTGGAATAGCTCCAATGGAAGATAAGATTAGTAAAAGTCACCTTAGATGGTTTGGTCATATTAAATGTAGGCCTTCCGATGACCCAATTAGGAAAGTTGAAGTATTAGATTTGACTTATGTTAAGAAAGATAGAGGTAGACCTAAAAATACTTGGTCAAAAAATATTTAAAATGATCTTTCTTTATTAGATTTAAATGAGAATTTGACTTTTAACCAGACACAATGGCGAAAAATGATTCATGTAGCCGACCCCACGTAGTGCGTCAAAGGCTTGATGTTGTTGTTTGTTGTATTAAATTAATATTTAAAGAATAAAAAAAAAATCCACACGAGAAGCATTGCTCTGCTCAACTAACTTCGTTGCTACGAAAATGGTTTTGAATATCTTCGAATGAGATTGTTGCTGAGCCTCTAGACTTTGATTTCTGCTGAGAGGGGTGTTCTTTCCATCCAGTCATGTATATAACCTTATCAAGAAAATCATAAAATCATTAGCAAAGCATTTAGCCTTCGTGGCTATATATGATTTCAATATTCAAGTGAGATTTAGGTTTTGCTTGAGACGGTTTTTTTTTTTTTTTTGTTTTTTGAAACGGTTTTCTAGTACAAAAAATTTCTAATTCAAAAAAATTTTATACTAGAAAGCTGTTTTAGAAAGCAGCAAAAAAATTATCACAAGGCTTTATTTGCAACAGTTTTCCTACTGATTTTTAAAACAAATTTTTTGATATAAACATTTTTTGAGCTGAAATTTTTTGTACTAAAAAATTACTTTAAAGCCGTCACAAACAAAACTTTAGTCAAGTAGCCCCTTCAAATATGGAGAAATTATTACATATAGTCACCGAACTGTTTAGAGATGAAACAGGATGTGTCACGTCACTTGATACACAGACGTGGTACACAACAAAATCGTGACGTGACGCGTCCTGATTCGCCTCCGGACGGCGTCCGGTGGCCGCACATAATAATTTCTCTCAATGTGGGGGTAAATTTCAACAAAGCAGAGCTGATTTTAATGAAATATTTTTAATTCTTAGATTTTGACTTCTGATACAAAAAAAAAAATAATACCTTTACCTGAAAAGTTGCTGGAATTTTCCCATCCTCTGCTGCAAACATCGATTCATAAACAGCAGCAGTAGCGAGAGCAGTGTCCCTTTTCAGAATCTAAAGCACCATAAGATCTTCATTTTTAGAATACCAAAAAAACAAACAAGATGATATAAAGAGAAATACAAAATACATAAAAAAAACTATGTTACTTTCGTGAAAATAGGCGTGATTATTACGTGCGGAGTCCGGATCCAGATAACCGTTTGATTTTGTGATTGTGAATAATAAAAGCACAGTGGTGAACAGTAAATGTGCTTTTACTCCGCTTTTACTATTCACAGTCACACAATCGAACGGTTCTTTGAATCTGAACTCCACACGTAGTAATCTCTCTAAAAAGATCCTATTATGAGGAAAACAAACAAAAGAACTCACATTACTTCTCTGCAATAGTGCATTAGTCTCACCCATTGTGCGCAAATGTTCAATAAGCTCCAAAGCTATATGAAGATAAAAAAAAAGCTATATCAAGAAAGAGTTGAATAAATGAAGATAGTACAGAATAAAGCCACAGTAAATTTCATTTGCTTGTTGATTTCTATGATGAGAGGGTCTGTTCAAAGATATAACCATTATATCTGTCTGGTTCAGCCTGGTTTTAAGCAAAGACGGCTTTGAATGTATGTCGAACTGGTCAATGGATTGATTCACAAATGAGTAGGCTTGAACGGCCCGTTCAATCTGGTTTTTTAAATCCTACTTAAAAGCGTAAAAATTTACACTAAAAAGAAACATTCATGTATGCGTCGGACTTTATATGACAAAAGTACAACAACAACGACATCAAGCCTTTGTCACACTATATGGGGTCGGCTACATGAATCCTTTTTCTCCATTGTGTCCTGTTATAAGTCAAATTCTCGTTTAAATCTAATAAAAAAGGATCATTTTTAATATTTTCTAAATAAGTCTTTTTAGGTCTATCTCTACCTTTCTTAACACAAGTCAAATCTAATACCTATACTTTTCTAACCGGGTCATCAGAAGGCCGCCGTTTTATGTGACCAAACCATCTAAGTACGTAGAGTTTAATTTCTTCAATTCACTGGAATTCTGTGGAGCATTTCCTATGATATATTTAGTTTTTGGGCAGGGAACAAATACAATTATATGTAGGATATGTCAAATATCAATTGGTTATATCAAATCAACTTGATATCTTCTAATGCAAGCAATTGGCAATATCTGGTTTGATTAAAACATTAACCAAACGCCTATATTATTCCTAACAAAACTGGCAAGAACATGCTCTTTGAGAGAAGTAGGTAATTTCCCAAGTATAATGCAAACTGCAATCACTAATCCAGCTAGGCTATTCTATGAAGAAGCTGACCACTATCATATCTGACAGTATATTCATCAACATCAACCCCAGGAAGAGCGAAACCTGCTCTTGTGAGAAGATTTCCAGCATCCCGGACCTGAAAACACAAGATGGATTGCTATTATAATCTGTTGGTTACAAAAGTAACCTAAGATATTAAGTCTGGAAAAGCTAATGTGACCGTGCGTACAGGTATTTTCCTAACTAAATTGCCATGGAATAAATTTGTAGAAACTACCATTCAATTAATCAACTGTTATACGCACAGATGGTTAAGCATGAAATTTTCTGCAAAATTGAAAGCTATGGTTTGAAAGTCGTACAAACACAAAATAAGAAAGAGAAAATGCAGCAAAATAAAAGAAACATTAGGATTTAACTTGAAAAATTTTGAAACCAGTAAAAAACTACAGAGCCACACCACACCAAGAAATTCATTATGAAAATTGGGAGAAATTTATACATATCTCTTTATCTCTCTCTCCACTTATGCACAATTCTCACATATGAACAAACAAGGAAACCCACTAAAAACCACAGAGGGCAACCTTTCATTAAAAACAAGAAAAACAACTGCCCAGCCCGCCTCTCAGCGCCACGACACTCCACTCTCCGCCTAACAGTGCCGCAGCACCGAGGTCCGGAGCACCACAGTACTAGGGTTTTGAGCGTCGCAATGCTCCGCTCTCTATATTTTCCAAGCAAACCTACAGTGCCACAACACTGTATAGCGCTATGGTACACAGCGCTGCAGCGATGTACAATTGTACTAGAAAAAAAAGTGTGTGCAAAGCAACACCTGAACCCAAGCAGGGGAGGACCTCCTACAATCCCCGACGAGCTCAACCGATAGAACTGAAGTCCAAGGCAACAATACAACCTGATTGATTGACACAATCAAATTCCACACAACACTAACAAGCTACCACTACAACCACAAAGCAACATTATCATAATTTCAGCCTCCTTACACACATGCATTAAAGAAATCAGAAGTGATATGACCCATGTTGATGTCATTGAGAACTTGCCCATAGTGCAACCAAACAGTGAGTGCATCACATGCCGGTAAAAATTAAGGATTGCATCATGAAGAATTATTAGGAGTAGAGTGTCTATGGGTGCACAGAATAGTAGTAAAATTTATTTTCAAAATTTGTTATTAGAGGGGCAAGCGTCAAGAATTCATTGTTTGGTTTTTTTGAGATAGTTAAAACATGCATCTCCACTTGACTCTCCTAGAATTTAAGCATGCCCAATCCACAGCGTCCCTGCCTCGCCCTCCCGAACAAGTTAACTGTGATAGCTTGACAAAGGAGTTCATAGATATTATGCCATTCAAACCCATATGAATCACAATCCCATGTATCTTGGTGGAAACCCAAAGATTTGGATTCATAAAATTGAACGCCACTATGAGTTTCATAGTTATCCGACGAGGATAAGCTTACCCTCACTTTGTTCCATATAAATGGATTGATCAAAGAATGCGATTTATGGCTATCTAAGATAAAAAGTTTAACCTCTTGGCCTGATGTCCTCAACACTTTTCGAAATATATTTGGACCATACAAATGTTGCATCTCAATAGTGAGCTTGCCAAGTTGTTGCTAATATTCATGATAGCAAACTATCAACAGAAGTTCAAGAAACTCCCGAAACAAATTATATATATTGATGAACTGTTCCTACAGAGATGTTTAAATCAGGATTGAAGCCTACATTACGAAAAGAACTGCACGTTCAAAGACCAAAAACCCTCGATCACACTATTGAATTAGCTAAACTTATTGATGATAACTTCAAGATGACTAACTACATCCACCATAAAACATGCCTTTCTATCTTCCAAAATCAAGGAGTCTTCCGTCTTTGCTTTCCAATCATGTTCGGCCATTTTCATTGAAAACCCATTTATCCATAAAAAAATTGTTCCCAGCTAAGATTATTGAAAGACAAGAAAAAGTTTATGCTTCAATTATGAGGAAAAGTTCCACTATTCAGTATTTGTAAGAGCAAGATGCTCTTCATGTCATAATATCTATAAGAGCAAAATCCACAAAAAAATAGGAAAACTCGCCTGTTTTGTAAAAGGTGAACAAAACTCTCACTATCAGAGCAACCTAAGATCAACGCACGTGCGAGACAGACGACCAACTCCACATGTTTCATATTAAAGGTTTTCTTGTCCAACATCTAGGAGCTCGTCGACAGTGGTGCTACTCATAATTTTATTCAAGAAAAACTTATCAAATTCCTACATCTTCTAATCAAATCTATGACGCCATTCCAAGTTCTCATCAGTAATGGGGATAAACTCACCTGCACCAACAAATGTTCTAAGCTCTCCCTTCATGGTGGACAAGGCCAACACTTCCACCTTGACTTCTACATCATAACCATTCAAGGTGCCAATATTTTTCTTGGCGTCCAATGGATACAACAATTGCATATGTAATAATAAACTACTCTTCCTTTACTCTGAGTTCTCGCATTTACAATAGATTGTATTTCTCCAAGGCCAAAAACCACTCTACCATGAGCTATAAATCAGCCAATTCATCAAATTATCCACCCAAGGTTCAAATGCTTCCTGTTTTCACCTCTTCATTTATTTAACTCCAATACCTAAGTCGTCACCATTATTTTCTTTGATGAAACAATCTTTTATTTTCTGCAAGACAGCGCCTTCCAGCTCCAAATGCTCCTTCGGCCAACTCAAAATTGAGTACTTGGGTCAAGTAGTCTCCACTGATGGAACCTCCCAAAACCTCCAAGATTGACGCCATCCTCCAATGGCTAGCTCCTATTAGTCCCCTCCAATTGATACTAATTATCACAGTATCTTGGGATAATATTAACATCAATCACCTACCACCATCCAAAGGTAAAGTCAACAGCCTTGTCGTCATGACCAGTCAACCAAACAAGCTTATTACACGCCATTGCCACCTTAGTTCACTGATCAAATAATTGCCACTCTATTCATAGCTGATGATAGTTGACACATAGGTCTTTAAAAGATTGCCACCTTAATCAAGGATTGAACTTTTATGAGTAGTTTATGGAGAGCGTTCTTCAAAGAGATGAGCACTGCACTTCACCACAACACAACTAACCACCCAGAATCCAATTACAAAACTGAAATAACACATTGAGGTCATGAACAATACTTGTGATGGTGTGACATGGAGAATCCTTAGACCTATACCAAATCTTTTCCATGTGTTGAATACTCTAACAATACATACCTTCACACCTCTAAATCAGATCCATCATACTTGGAAAAGTACAACCATATCATCAAATTTCATTATGTGATTGTCACTACTCCAAACTCACATTCATTATTTTAGCTCACTGAAGGTTTTAGAAAGCATCAGTCCTATCGCTTAGGTTGAAGTTGCCTCCACAATTGCGAGTTCACCCATTACTGCACATCTCCCTCCTCAAACCCTACACTAAAAATACTCATTTTCATAGCTCGAACCTCCTACAAGACGCATGATTAAACCATGTGGCTGTCCATCCAACAGCCATAATAACTCTCAACAAGCTCTACAAGATGGTACCCCATAGCATCAATACCTTCCATAGTGGCTTGGAATGCCGTAGGAGGATGCAACTTGGCTCATTGCAAATGACTTGTGCATAGCATACATAGACTTTGACCTTGAGGACAAGGCCATTCTTCCAAGATACTAGGGAAGAATTGATAGGCCCATGTCAACATCATTGAGAACTCATTTATTGCGCAACCAAACCACGAACATCCAAGACTGGAATGGATGTGCAAGTAAATCATAAGGATTACATTATGAAGAAAAATCAGGAGTTGGGTGTCTTGGGTGCATAAACTACCAATAGAATTTATTTTCTAAATTTTGTGATAGTAGGATACTTGTCATGTCTTGCTCAAAGGAAATGATGCCAGCATATTATGGAGGAAAAGGGTAGTATTTGCTCATTTCCATCACTTCAAGAAATAAAGAAAACCATTGACCCTTTTTTGAATATCTCTTTCCTTGCACTGTTTCCTCGCTATGTGTTTGTCGTCCGTCCTTAATTCCCATTCAATTCAGGAGCCTCTAGCGTGCTCGAACAATTTATCAAAAAAAAAAAAAAAAAAAACACGGTAGAAATACAATAGATTTATATGAAATTTGTATAATTGGTTTTGCTTTCCCTTTATCATAGAACTTAATTAATGACAGACGCATTTATGACCTTAAGAACATAAAGTATTAGGACACTTCGGATTTGTATTACTAGTGGGACATGCAACTGACCAAAAAGGATTTAAAACCTGCCTGAACTAGTTGGTATTAGGCTAATAACGATGGAGGTTGTACATACAACCAAGCACTGGGTTTTACGCATGTTATCAAATAGGAAAATTGATATACAAATTGAAAATGATTCTATAATTCCAGAAGACATCAATGCTTCAACTGTTAAAATGCAAAGAAAAAGATAAAACCCAAAAAAATCAAAATGGCTACACAAAATTAAGTATTGTTTAAAGGGGCATACTTGCGCTAAAGGTGACATTCGAGGGCTGATGCCTCCCTCACGTTCCAACTGAGCAATAGTGCAAGCCATTCTAAGCTCTCTAATCAAGAAGTTGCAATTACCAAGTCAAAGAAATAAAAGCAAACAAGAATTTGCACATGCTTAACAAACACATAGTTTCTCAATTCATAGAATCTACCAACTTCAAAGTTTCTCCTCCTAGTATAGCTGCAAGAAATAGACCATCAGGCTTTAGTGCCAGTCGACACTGCCAAAATGGAAGCAAATTTCAGCTCCAGTTGTGAATTAATATTCACAAGGCAAACAAAAAATAATGGTGACTGGAAAGAGCAAACCTGTATCATGGCTCCAGGAAGATCATTTGTCCAATGAAGTCCTAGACAACTGACCACCAATTCTAAGGAACTGCAAGCAAACAAGGGATAGAAAATGAGACTCCCAAGACTAAACCACAATGCAATTTGTAGCAAGGTATCCAGAAAGACATTAATCAGTATACTTCTCTTTAATGGGAAGGAACTCTTCATCTCCAACCATGTATAATGTCTCAAGGTTATTACTAACATAATTCTGCTCTGTATTCTTCAAATGCTTAACCATGTCAAGGGACATGTCCATCATGATCAGCTTTTCAATACCACCTGAAAACAAGAGCAGAAATTTTGGAATTGAATTCTCTACCCAAAGTTTTATTATCCTCAATCCTTCTGCAGAGTAAGTAACCATCCATTAGAAAGCATGCACAAATAATACTTCAGATTGAGATAAGAAAAGCTTAGGGAAAAAGATTAACTATTGCAGTCATCCATATTTCAATCAGCATTAGTTACTAGATATAAGTATGGCTTTGGGAAATAAGGAGCTGCAAATTTGGATCAACAGGGGATTCACCACAGGATTATGAGAGCACCAATGATTAGAGTCTAACTCTTTAATTAGTAAAGAATAACCCAAATAGAAGTAGGTAGACAAAGAACTCACCACGACCTCGTATGAGGCGTCGGATGGCCTCTGAGGAACCCCCCAAGCATAGTGCAGTAGAAAATGTCTTTTTACAATCCTGTGAAGTAAAATGCCATCAAGAAATTTTCTCTATGAAAATGAAATATTTCAAAAATGCTTAGAAGGTAACAATTCCTTCACATGGTTGACTTATATTTAATAGAATCATGTATCTTTGTCCTAGATCACCCAATTTTTTCAAGAGAAGGAAAAATAGAAGAATAAATGAGAAAAGGATCATATAGTTGGATACAAAGTTATCCGTGGTTGAAAAAATAAGAGAAAAAAGAAAGAGAACACAAAGTGAGAAATTTTGAGGTTTCACTGATTGAAAAAATACATGACTTGAACAAATGATTCAATATGCCTAGCTCATCATCTAGCCCTTTATTTATAAGCTTGGTTAAAATATAGTGTTACAAGAAAGGCTACACAAATAAAATTATCTCGCAAGACTTGCAAAATGATTATCATAAAATGAACCTAGCTAACCTATTACTTTCGATTACATAGAGAATACATGTTAAATTACAAGTAAACAAGAAATTCACTGAAAGTCGCATGTCAATTTCACTGTCTCGTCAAGTCTGGCAAGTTGCATTGACGATTTTGAGTAATTAGCTCTAGAAAATTGAGTGACTTTGATTGTTCAAACCTTAGGATGAGTGTGACGCTTGAATAGAAAGTTTTGGCCAACTTGAATTTTGTGGTGTTTTTTACTCACGGACGACATCAACAAGTTGATCTTTTTAACATGGCAAACTTGCCCTAAATTTGGTCCACATTGTTTAGCAATGATGGTCCAACTTGCAGTGATATTGGCTTAAGGGTTATTTGGGTGTACATTTACTTCTCAAATTCTCTTCTCCTTGAAGATATCGCAAAAGAATAATAGAGTAAAGCATTCTACAATGATGAGCTAGCACTTTCATTGTGATCACTAAAATGAATCTGAAAGCTTTTCATATAAATGAGTGTCAAGAGATGACGATACAACAACAACAACAACAACATCAAGAGATGACGATAAATACACAAAATAAAGATCATTTGATTCAAGTTAAAATATTGTTCAATAGAAATGTTGATAATGCTGCGGAGGAAATATAAGGAGTGAGAGGGTCACAAGACTATGGAAGAGTTTTTTCTTCACCTCCATTGAAGGATAAAAGAGATGAGATTGAGAAAAGAGAAAAGAGTTAAGTCATTGTTGAGTTGCTCACTATAAGTGATATGCTTAGGACAAGTCTCCTAAAAAAAATATGCCAGTCATGATTCTTCCTTGCAACTTGATCTTGCATGAAAATAACAAAAAAATCATCTAGTGATACTGTCATTGTTCCTAGGGGTGTCAAAATGAGTTGACGGGTCGAGTTAGGGTTTGATCCAAAATTAATCAGACCCGAATTTAGTAAACACGAACCAAACCTGCTAGCAACCTGATGATCCGAACTCGATCCAAATCCAATAACTTATTTTAATTAAAAAAAGTTATAACTTATTAACTATAAAGTTTATGATATTTGATAATAAACAAGAAGATTATAAACACAAGTAGAAAAATTTAAAGAAAAAAGATATTAAACAGATCAAAAATAGATTGGCGAGTCGACTTGAACTTGAATTTTTTTTGTCAGATTGGAGGACCGGGTCTTTTCTTGATGCCCCTAATTACTCCCACTCAATTGCCAATATCTAAAGCTAAGTGAGTTGTCAATTTATCAAAGCCATTAGCCACCCACTGAGGAAGGCGATGAATATGATGATGCCACTACTAGCTCAAGGGAAAGAGAAAAGAAGTCTATTTTGAGAATAAATGATAAATTTGAAGTCATCGTGAAAACTTTTGATCCAATCAAAGACATTGAGTTTGGTTTGATGTTTCCTTGGCGATCAAGCAAGGATTAAGTGGTTTAAAGAACACAGTCATCCTTATGAAGAGGAATATTAGTTCTTCTCAAATTAGTCAATTTGCAGGTGGGTTGAGTTCTTACTTTTCATCGATTATTCATGGATCAATCACTAGAGATATCATTTTTTGTTCCATTGTCCAATTGTTGTTAGGCTGAGCTATGCCATTGCTTGATGCCGGGTTTGAGAACATGATGACATCTTTTAGTTATCCTCCTCCATGTTGATTAATTTTCCTTGCAAACGAGAAGATAGAAATTTTATTAGGCACAATCAATTTTATTTTTTTGTGCTTGTTTTTTCTTTGTGTAATCTCTTTTTTAAATTATTTGTTAGAATTTTTATTTTTTCGGAAATGATCATTATCGTTGATTTGACCTCTGATGATATGATTAGGATAATTTTTATTTTCTCATATTTTAAGTCACTTTAAATCTACATGCAATCAAATATAATCATTTGAAATGCTTCCTTGAATGATGTCGATTTGTATCTGAACTAGTGGAACTCTGACTTTCATGATCTTATCAATGAATAGGCCCTCAATAGTTCATTCGTTATTTGACATTCTCTCACTTCAATTGCTATACAACTATTACTCTCAGGTCTCAATTGACTATGGTAAAGGTTTTCATGAGTTGCTCGGAATACTTTGGCAAAGAGGATTAGGGAGTTCAAATAGGTAGTGAGAAGAATAATTGCAATTCATTATGTCAAGAGTTCAAGTCCAACAATAAGTTCGTTGTGCAAATTCCTAAGACAGGCAAGTTCCTAAATTTGCTGAAGGATGACGAGCTATGCTTCAATTAGGACCAATTTTGATGTGGTTTGTGACACCCTTTCTTCCTAAAGGTAGCTTAGGTCTTAGGATATTTTAACTTGGTACCAACATAGGTGATACTAAATTACTTTGCCAACATGATTACTTTTAGGGGCATTTACATACATACAACTTTATATCATGCTATTTACATGTCTAATACCTAAAACTTTAATATTTCATACCTTGGGTGGTAGGCATGAAATATTAAAGTTTTGGGTGTTAGATATGTAAATAGCATGATATAAAGTAGTATGTAAATCCCCCTTTATTGTTTACCTGAAAATGTAGAGATGGAAGAGGATTTTAAATTTATTTTGCTTGATGTTTACAATATAAGCCTTTAAAGAAGGCATTGCTCCTTTTTTTTTAAGCATAAAAATATGCAAGGCTCAAATTGGATAAAGAAACACTTTTTTGTTAAGTCTATTGGATAAAGTTGCAATAGGACCAATATAATCTTGAATTCTCAAGTGCCAAGTTCGCGACATCACATCTTTCAAAAGAAAAGGTTGAGTTCTACATGAATCTGGAAGAGCCTCAACTTAATTGTATACAATAACACTTTCAAGTCTTCTATCAATGCCCCAATTATGCTTAGACAACCTTCTCATGGCATGTATCAAGTAAGTTCTTTTTTCTTTATTGAATAGCCGTTACCCTTATAAAATTTTAATTATACTTAGTTGATTCTTTTTTATATCATTTAGTTTTTAAAATCTTTGGCGAGACCCCTCTTTTGTCTGATTTGGATCACTTATATAAGGTCAACTTAAATGATTTTTATTGATAATATCCAAGAGGAGATCGGTCAACTCCCCTTCTCAAAAGAAGAGGCAAGTAGTTTTGAGTGACTAAGAGGAGGCTGAGAAGAGCGAAGTTGGATCGAATTCATGCCAATATGCTTCAAGTGAGGTGCCTTACAGTTCTTCTCTGATTCTCGTTGTGCCTCTACGAGCAATCACTCTAGAGAAGTTAGCTCGTGAGCCAAGTGGATCACTGAAAGGAAAGGATAAAGTCATTTATTCCCATCCTTTGAGATGCTTTGAGAGGAGTTGCAAAAGTGACAAGGAAAGAAAGCCATTCATTGGAACAAGAGAGATCGATTCGTGGTTTATGTTAGCATGGACCCTCTTCTTCCTAGCATAAACTAACTTTAGCGACTTTTGATCTCAACCCTTTTCAGAGTATGTGCCCAATTACTTGGAGAAGTTGTTGTTGAATGACTTACAAATGTTTCTTATCGGGAGACTTGTATTGAATATTCAAATTTATTTGAAACTAGCCCTGCTCCAACCTTATCCATAATAATGCTAAAGATTATTAAAGAGACTTCTATGTAGCTGCAAAATGGATAACTAATTACCATTTGAACCCATCAAAGGAGGATATACTCCTATACATAAGACAGTAGTATCACCTAAGTGGCAACTCCTTAAAAGTAATAATAAACATTCAACAAATCATGGATTCATTGGCATTCAAAAATGAAGTCACCGACATGAAATAAGAATGTGATCAGTGAATTTATATTTTTCTTGCACAAATTCAAAGGTGGGATCTTAAATTTTGCTATAGATTAGGCCCTAAAAATCTCTCAGCAAAATCATTATTTAACTGTAGTTTGCAATTCTCAGTCCTCCAAGGTTGATGTGTTTCGTCATTGCTTTTTGAAAGATAGATCAAGCCAATTGCTAGAGTCAAAATTAGTGTTTGTAGACTTGGTGGTTATCGTTATTGAAATTAAAGATATATCTTAAAAAAATTCCAACATGTGGAGTGGTTCTAGGAGCACGCTTAAAGAGTCATTGAATCATCTTTCTTATTCTTCCCCAATCTAGTTGAGTCATTTATTAGTAATGAAGCATTGCTATTTCATTTCAACTAATCTCTCATTGTCATCTTGTTGTTCCAAGCTTGGTTTCTAATTCTTCACATCTATCCATGCTCATCTCACTTTAGAGTATGGTAGATCCAAAATAATCCATAAAAAACATTAAAATCTTACTAGTAGGATGGTTAGAAAACAAGAGAAAAGATGAGAAAGGAAGAATTCTAAGTGAGAAATTATGGGATTTTATTAAATTATTAAAAGTACAAAATTTGAACAAATGATTTGATGTGTCTGGTTCACTCTGACCCCATTTAAAGACTCCGTTCGAAGTGCAATGCTATCAAAAAGGCTACATAAGTGAAATTACGTTGCAAGGGTTAATAAATGTTTTTCATAAAATGAACCTAGCTAACACGTAGCTATTTAGTTACATGGAGAATACATGTTGAATATTAAGAAAGGGATGAATCTATGTGAAGATGTCGGTCGACTTCACCATAACTCACTAAGCTCTCCTGAATTACATTGATGGCTTTAAGTGACTAGCTTTAGTGAATTAGTCAATTTTGCTTAGTTTGAACCTTAGGCCAAGCACACTTTAATAGACAGGTTTGGCCTACTTGAATTTAGTGGCAAGTTCGCTATATTTTTTACGACTTCGATCAGTTAATAATTATGACCTGGATGAGTAGACCTGAATCTGGTCCACGTTGTTCAGAGATGACAATCCAAACTATCACTAAAACTAGCAGATGCGCAAAATTAATTTTTTTTTTTAATGTAGCATATGAGCTATTTGGGTATACCCATATGATATCACTAAACGGAATCCAGTAAAACTAAAAAATGTATCTTTTCAAGAAATTCAGCGGTCAATAAAGATCCATGTAAGCCAAATGAAGTAAACGGGCTTTGCAGATGAAACACATAAATATTCAAGAGAAGGGAAGCAGCACAATATCAGACTATAACTGCTGGAATTTCTTCCCTGTCGAAACTAGTCTGACAGGGAAAACAGGAGAGGAAGTTCCTATATGAACAGCAGCCTGCATGACTAAACCTAAGGACATGCTCCAGTGGATTAAACACACAGATAAAACCTTAGATGCATAACCAATGAAAAGAGGGAAAAAGTTCAAATTTTGAGTGAAATCAGATAACCTCCAGTCGATCAAGAAGGTTTTCCGCTACAGAGTCCACGAAATCGTTCTTTCCCCCCATCAACCACGCAGCTCTATCCCTCTGCATATCCATTGATCACTCACTTAAACAGAATATAACAAAGGCGAAAAGAGAAAGAGATGAAATATAGATAGGAGGAGAGAGAGAGAGAGAGAGAGAGAGAGAGAGAGAGAGAGAGAGAGATGAAGGGGAGAAAAAAGTCAGACATGCTTGCGCTTGAGATCACGATCAAAGATCTTGACCCGAGAGCTCAGAACACCATCAGCCTCGGTGCAGAAGGAGGCCAAACCAGCTATGGCGAAAGAGAAAGCCGTGATTGCAGCAGCGGGGGAAGGAAAGAGGCGGGAGTGCTTTCCGGATGCCCATTCACCAGCGATCACTCTCGCTGCGCTCACAGCCATGCGTCGTCACTCCGGCTACGGGTTTAGGAACTTTTATTACATCCGGTGCAAGGACGTAGAGGAACTTCCCGTCGGAGTCAAATTTTGTCAAAAAAAACTCCGTATTTTCTGGGTATAACTAGGTATTATTTGATAATAACGATGAATACCGCTTTTTGAAGATCAAAATTGAGTTATACCGAGCTATATCGAAAAATATCGAGCTGTACCGAGTTTTTTCTAGGAAAACTCGGTACAACTTTTGTATAACTCGGTATTGCTCAAGATAGCTCGAAATAACTCGGTATTAGGTCTTCATATGATGTTATTCCTCGTTATTATTTGATATTGCTCGGTGTTTACTCGGTACAACTCGGTATTTGGCGGGAATTTGCCTCCGACCGGACGTTCCTCTGCGTCCGGTCGGAGGACGTAATAATTGTTTCGGGTTTAGGGGCTGTTTATACAAGATTTAAGTAGGATTTGACAGCACGATTTGAGTTAAATCTTGCGAAATGTTTAAAAAAAAAAGCAGCTTAAAATTTTTGACAAGTTTAACTTTCCTTCTTATGAATTTCTTTTTTTTTTTTTTGAAATTTGAGGGACTCGTATATTTTATTATCATAATGAATAATTACAATACAACAACAACAACATCAAGCCTTTGTCCCACTACGTCGGGTCGGCTAAATGAATCCTTTTTCGTCATTGTGTTCGGTTAAAAGTCAAATTCTAATTTAAATCTAATAAAGAAATATCATTTCTAATATTTCATAACCATGTCTTTTTAGATCTACCTCTACCTTTCTTAACATAAGTCAAATTTAATACCTCAACTTTTCTAACCGGGTCATCGGAAGGCCTTCGTTTAATGTGACCAAAACATCTAAGGCGACTCTCTCTAATCTTATCTTCTAATGGATATACTTCAACCTTTTCACGTATATGCTCATTTCGTATCCTATCTCTAAGGGTAAAGCATGGTCATGTGGATGTGTGGCACCCCCCTTTTTCCCTTTGTTCTCTCCCAGACTCTACCCTTACTACAAGGTAGGGCAAGGAGGGGATTCCCCCTACTTTTTCATCCTTTAATGATCTTTTACTTGTTCTCTTTACCCTTTTTTATTTGTCACATTTGATCAATGCCAACACATGTGTTCACCCTATTGGGGGAAATTTATTGATCTTAAAATCCTTAAACCCTTGGGTCAAGGGGTTGACTTGATAAAATTGACAAAGCTAGGCCCCAAGACCCCTCCCATTCAATTCAGTGGGTTAAACCCAATCTATTGAGCCTAGGCCCAGGCTTTGAGTCAACCTGGTTGACCAGGTCAACTTGGTTTAACCCAAATTAGCCCAAACTCCTTTTCTTGGTTCAAATCTCATCCACTTCTTCTCAAGCTCAACTCTTTCCTCCCTTAGACTCAATGGGTCAGACGCAACCCATTGGGCCCAAACCTATGCCCTGGGTCAACCTGGTTGACCCATTAAGCACTATTGGGTTAATTCAAGTTCTAATCCAATCAAAACTATTCTTAGACTCAAATCCTTCATCCTTTGGACCTATTTGATTAGGTTGACCAGGTCAACCATTAACTTGGTCAACCTAAGCCTTAAATAGGTCAAATTACTTAGTTATTTAATTATTATTTAAATAATTAATATGCTAATTATTTTGAATTTTAAAATTTATTTTTTGAAATTATTTTGAAATCTCCTTGAGTGGCCAATAGATCTCCCATCTATTTACTTGTTTATTTACATTGAACTATTTTAAATTACATTATTTATTTAAAATTTATTTATTTAGTATATGTATTTAAAACTTATATATATTTTAAATTTCCTTAGCTTTGGCGATCCACTTCGTTTAATTTTAAATATAAGTTGTGCTTTTGAATACCATTTATGAGAATGTGGATTAGTGGATAATTCGATTTCAATCATTCACTAATCACATCGTTAAGCATGTTTACCTTTCTTTTATCATCCTTTACATGCATAGGACGCATGAGCACTTAGCTTAGGCCCTCCTAGATCTTAGAATTGGTGTGTTAACTTTTTTTTTATGCATTCCCTTCATGTTATCCTAAGAGTAGGTCTTGAACATGTTATATAAAACTACTTAACATAGCGACACCCTAATGATAAGAATTAAAGACAAGTCTAGTAAACTTAGAAAAATTATAGGAGCTAGGATAGATCCCCGATTGATATGAACTTTACACATTTAAACTTAGCAATATCCTAAACCTCCCAAAATTTTCTATAAATTTTTTACGATTCTTTAAACCCCTTAATTAACAAACCCTAATTTTAAACTTTAATTAGTCCCAATTAATGACCCGCCTAGCGAACATAGAAAAATTATAGGAGCTAGGATAGATCCCCGATTGATATGAAAATTTCAAAACTTAAACTTAGTGACATTTTAAATCTCTCAGAATTTTTTAAGAATTTTTAGGACCCTTTAGACCCCTTAATTAACAAACACTAATCCAACCCGTAATTAGGCCCCGATAACTTCAGAAAATTATAATAAATTCATTTTAACTCAAAAAATTACCTATAATAGCTCAAACTCTCCAAAATTTAATCCTTAACCTTAGATTATTAGGGACTTTTAGTTGGACCTTAATTTAAGCCTTAATTCAACCTTAATTAAAATTCACTTTTTTGCCTTAATTAAATAATTAAAAATTCCTAATTTTCCCCAAGCACTTGGGAACATCTTCTTGGGTCATTTCTGACCTTTGGGAGTGATTCCAATCAGTTTGAATTTAATTTGAATCAAAACCACCAAAATACCTTAATTAATCTTTTTTTTTAATAATTCATTAATTGACTTAAACTTCTAAAATTGATATCTTTGCCAAGAGAACTCCAAATTTAGCAAACCCAAAGCCTAACTACTCCTCTTAAGGCCTAATATTTAATTAAAATACTAGAACTCCTAAACCTAGCCCATTTTCCATAGTGATCTTTTGTACCTTCTTAGCCTAGCGTATAAAAGGACCATGGACCTTCCACAATTGGCTAATACAATTTAAACTTCCAATATGATTACCCTAACCATTAAAATAAACCAATAAAATAAATTAATTTAAATGGATCCCAATCCATTAATACTTAAACCTTAATTAAATTTCCTTTTCTAGCCTTCAACCAACACTAATATAAAATAACTTGAACTAACTACCCTGCATAGGACCTATCCAAAGCCACACTAGCCTACTACACACACATAGAACTATTTGTTAGGGCACCACTTCTAGCTCTAAGATTAGGGCCGATGTTTACTTTTTCTGCTTTTTTGTACTGTGATACTCTTGTATGCGGCACGAGTGCTGATTGATTGCTCTTGTTTATTGAGATTAATATGATGTTTATTTCATTATTATGCTTTTTATGCTTTGCTTATGATTGATGTGTGCGTTAGACTGCCCATGGGCTATGGCTGCTTTGATACTAATTCAGTCTTATATAGGTGGTTACGCTTATGCAGCGCTAAAAAAGGGGCAATAATAATTAAAGCTTTAATACTAACGTTATTTTCTACATATGCTCCAAAGACTACTTAGCCCCCCTTTAAAATTAAAAAGAGCGTGACGAAGTGTGTTTTCTTTTTCTATATGATATAAACTGCTTGTGTTGTATATTATAAACTGCTTGCGATAATTTTTATTAGGATAACCATGCAAGAGTTTGAGTATAGAATTTTTCTTTTTATAATATAATGTAATTTGATGTAATTGAGTTGTGAAAGTCTAATATTTCAAACACTTGGTTCCCAAAGAGAATAAGAAAGGCTTTTTATAAGGAATTTTTTAGTCATTTGGGTACCTTTTTTGGAGGACGAATTATACGGAGCCTGAAGGAGACGATCCAAAGGGAGATGATCCAGAGAAGGACGATCCACTCGAAGATGGAGACTTGAAGACAAAATGCCTGGCTTTTAAGACTTACGTTATTTATTAGGATTGGAATCCAGGTTGTTGTTGGTGGAGCCTGGCCACCATTACTTTTCTGCAAACCCTATGTTGTATTTATACAACACTTGTTGTGGACTTTAAACTTTTCTGTGTTTTTCTGGATTTATAATGATGTGTTTATTTTGTGTATGCATTAGAAATTACCTACTCTTTCAAGGTTTCTTTCTTGTATATCTATGACCTGATTTTTGTTAGGCTCTTTAGGATAAAAAATATATTTTTCTACCATAATTAAATTCTAAAACTTTAAGAATTAAATAACATAGAAACTTAATGAGCTAGGGAACTGTCAGAATCATCCGGGATCACATGCATATTAAATGCGTTCTTCTCTCTCATTCTAATAAGACACCTCCCCACTTGCGGGTTGAGTCCGGATAAACTAGCCTATGAGGATGAAGTGCCGGACTTGAGGAGGCCCAGTCTTTTTCTAAAAATTATTTTTATATAAGCCTATTTTTAAAATCTGAAGCATATCGTCTGATTTAAACCTTTCAAACTAGCATGCATTACTTAAGAAATTAATTTAATTGTATTAGCTCTAGGAGCATTCATCCTATATAAGTCTAGAGCAAATTATGAAACTTTCTAGATGTCGATCCTATTTTCAAGAACTAATCTATCTACCTATCTTTCATAAAGATTGGATATTATAGATTTTATGCGCTTAGGTGGTTAGCTGGCATCCCTTTCTAGGCAGGATATAAGCCCAAGTGCATTAGCTAGGATACGGGTGTTAGTGTTGGGTAAAACACTAAGCCCACCTTAGATCTAGGATTCGAGGCTACTACATTGGGTGTTTACATTGGGTGTTTTGTAGTATGCCTAAATAGTGGGTAAGTTCATTTTCTTCAGGGACTATAAATCCTGTTTATCTGCATCACATAGATGACGCCCCTTTCATCTTTTCCCTCTATATACCATGAGTGATTTATTTTTCCTTTCTCCACTTTCTTCTTAATGCCTTAGTCCCTCCGGATGTCAGTGTGAGCCATGCATGTTGCCTAAGCCACTTTGAAATATTTTCTTCCCTTTGAGTAGGACTTCTTAGTCCCCTTTTGTACACCAATCCCCTTTTAGGAAAGAATAATATCGGATCCTTAATCGAGAGTTTTCTCGGGCCCTAGGCTTGAGATTTAATTAATCACGGGAGCTTGCGCCCTTGGGAAACGAAACTCCATTATCAAATAAATCCACTCGAGCTGATGTGTCGGGTGGGGGAAATCCGTTGTTTTGATCAGGTCATATATATTACTACCCATCGGAGTGCGCTAGAGAGAGCCGTTATTCTCAATGGTTAGTCGTATGTACGATCTAATCTTCCCTTCCATTGGCCCATTTGCGAGGAGCACGGAGGCCTGCGATTGTTTCTATCCCTCGGGGTGGTGCGATCGTATACCCTCTGCACTCTGTTGCCAGCGGTGTCCTTTTGGAGGTCCACAAAAAGTGAGCAACAGTTAGAGGGATATGTATGTTGGACCTTTAATTAGGTGAAGAGAACAAAATTCATATATCAAGGTTGATGACTGTTAGGAGAATATTAATTGTTGGGTTAAGTGCCTGGTTTTGAAGGGGAGAGAGATGTTAAGAATGAGGATGATAAAGTAAGACTCAAATTAATGTCTCAATAAATGAAAAAATATTTCTCATATAATAATATGGCATTACAAATAGCTATATTGAGCCTTTAAATTAATATTGTTAGGGGGTAGGTCATTGATTTGCTTGATGCGTGTATGTAATTTGAATCCTAATAACAAGACAATAGCGGCATGATAGTAAGTGTTTAGAGCAAAGAACAATAAACTTTGTATATCATGACTGAATATGTTACATGTTAATCATGTCACATCGCTCCAATCATAAACCACATAATACAGCCTTTTTGTCTCCCCATTCTAATTAACAAAAACAAAATTAAGGAAGGGAGTTAAATGTATCCAAGAACAAAAGTTAGTCGAGATTTTGATGAGTTGATCTACTACCACAAGTATCCACATTTTACTCACAATCTTAAAATATACCATTTGGGTTCTATCAGCAAAGAGCCAAATTGGAGAGCTTAATCCATGAAAGAGATGGCTTCCTTGGAAGATTTAAAATCAGACAATCATATTCTAAATATTAAATTGGCCATTAATAAATTAAGGATCACAAAATTATGCATTCTCATATTATTTCATACAAGGAAAGAGAAAAACAATAAAACCTCGTTAAGAGGTAGGAGATCCATGATACCTTTGTCAGCTGCCAAGTGATACATAAAAAAGGCGTCTTTCTTATAACATGACCACCAACACCATTCACTAATCCTTAGCTCTATAATCAACTTCATTATAGGAGAACAAGTCCCCATCCTTCAAGTTATCAACAAAATTCTAATCAAAGCCCTTGCAGTTAGAGTATGGTTTGGTGAGGAAGCCTTTCTAACTAAGCTGAGCAGATGTTGTGGGTGAGTGAATTGAAGGGGTTAATGATTCTCATCAAACTAGATAGAAGGGTGATAGCCTAATATCAACTAAGGTGCCAATCTTGTTAGGGTCACTCAAGATTGTGTTATGTAGAAGGTGAAGACATTAGGACCGGAGAAAGATAAGGATGACAAATAATACCAATTAAAAGTAATTTATGTAGGGTTTATAGAGAGACTTCTCTAATCTCTGAGGGAGGAGGTGAAGGAGGTGAAACAGGCATGCCCTCCAGTCTCAGCCGGATTTAAGTTAGTAGGGAAAAATGCTTCTAGTCCAAGAGTGGTGCAGAGCAATGGAGGTGGGGGAATAAAGCAATATTATGAAGTTCTGGAGTCTTGGATATTAGATTAAGATTTCTTTTGAATAGTTTTTTTAATGATTTCTACGACAGTTTTTTAGCACAATTTTTTTTTTGAAAATAACAAAAAAAAATAGTGGCAAAAGCTGTATCAAACGAAGCCTAAATATGCTTACACATCCCCTGTCATTTCTTTCACTGGCTATTAGTAAGAACCTAAATTTAAGCCCATTTAAAGCTTTGAAGCAATGCCAAATGGTAAACATTCGACATGATAAAATGCTTATATGGTTGATTTGTTGTCATCATTACCGGAAATAAATGAATTCCTTACTTGTGAGCCTTTTGGTCATATTATTTCATTTTATGCTCCATTATTGCAAGATACTACTAGTTATGTGTCATGACAACTAATTATAAAGAACTGCAAAACATTTCTATCAAGTCGTAAGATAGATATTTCTATTTACAAATCAACAATCAAACCACTATAATTTTTTTTCCAATAACAATAAGAAGAAACAAAAAAGCCATATTTTTTTTACAAGGCTAATTATTTCTCAGGAAATAAATAATCATTTCATCAACTTCTTGGCTGAATGGTGCTATCTCTCTTCTAATGAAGAGTTTAGATGTTCAAATCTCACCTAAAAAAGCAAATGATGTTGAACCGTCTGGTAGTTCTGGAATATGCCTGTACAAATTTTTTTGCTTGAACTACAAAGAGTAACTTGTTTGGCAATTGAATTTTGCTCAAATTATATTGTAATCTGGTTTTTTTCCTTACACTGTACATAACATGCTCTACGCTGAGCTTTATTGCAGGTTTTCCAACCTAAATTAAACCCAGCACTGCAACAGGAAGAAGATAAATACCAGACAGGAATCAGCAGAAGCATATCAACTCTTCACAAATATTTTATTTTCGTTTATTAAGCATAGCAACCAAACATGAGGTGCAGTGTCAATATCAATCCTCCAACTACTTGGCTGCTTCTTAAAGAAAAAGCCAGATCAAAACCAACTAACCATTTCCATCTTCCCATTTTATTCCATAAGACTACCACGAGCACTGCATTCTGATCTCACAAACCAAGCTAAAAATGAGGCACAAAGTCCATGCCTCCTTCAACCTGAAGCACCTCCTGCTAGGTTTGTTCATTGTAGTTCTACTCATCATCATACTAAGAACAAACTCATCATTAAAAGCTTTACCTCCAACTTCAACAATGCACACATGTACTAAAATCTCTCCTTCTCTGGCCAACACCATCATTCACTACTCCACCTCAAACATCACACCGCAACAAACCTTCAGTGAAATCTCCGTCGCCGCCGGTATACTGGCAAAGAGATCCCCCTGCAACTTCTTGGTATTTGGCTTGGGCCATGACAGCCCAATGTGGAGCTCGCTTAACCATGGCGGCCGCACTGTCTTCCTGGAGGAAGACAAGGCATGGATGGAGAAAATCAGAGAAAAGTTCCCTGACCTGGAATCATATCATGCAACATACAAATCCAAGGTGAGGGATGCAGATGAGCTACTTGAATTGAGGAGCAAGGAGTGTACTGAGGTGGGTGATGTAAGATATTCAAAATGTCAGCTAGCGCTGACAGATCTGCCCAGTGTGTTCTATGAGGTAGAGTGGGATCTGATCATGGTGGATGCACCAACTGGTTACTTTACTGATGCTCCAGGGAGAATGGGGGCAATATATACAGCAGGAATGGTGGCAAGAGCAAGGATGGTAGGAGAAACAGATGTGTTTGTTCATGATATTGATAGAACTGTGGAAGATAAGTTCTCAAAAACTTACTTGTGTGAGGGATACATGAAGGAAGAAGAGGGAAGGCTGAGACACTTCACCATTCCAAGTCACAGGAGCACCATGGGTTTGCCTTTCTGCCCTTAAATGTTGGGGTGATTCCTTAGTTTTGTCAGAATAACGCAGCATATGAGGATTTTGTGACATCTGTGCTCATACTTCTGTTTATCATTCTTGTTTTGTTGAGGTGTTATTATGATATTTGTATGGATTTTTTTATTACTTAGTTTTATAGTTACATTTCAGCACTTATGAGGATTAGATAATAATTCCAAAATGTTTCTATTAGGTTTATATATAAATATAAGACATTAGGATGGCATTGTCATTAGGTGATTTTATTTTGTTAGGATTTTATTGATTTTAGATTGAAACATTGGGAATTAAGGAAATAAAAGAGGTGGCTTATCTTTAGTTAACAGTAGTTGAACAAGCATTGTGAATAAGATTTGAATTCAAAGTCCTACACATTTCTTACCTTGAAGGATACTTTAACAGCCAATATTAACCTTTTTATTTGTTCTCCAGCCTTACAGGGAGGATGCTTGCCTGATGTAGAAATCCTTTCTAGCCTTTGTTCAGTCTGTGGTGTTCTTTTTGGGGGAATTTATATAGGCACCCCAAAATACTTTATATTTGTATATAGAATAATCAAATCTTTAGATTATGTAAAAATATTACTAATATTGACCTATTTAAAATAAAACACATTTTTATGCCTATGCTTTGATGTGTTTTTGACACTGAAGGCATATATAAGTAAATATAAGGATTTATGTAATTATTTGGTTACCTGAAAAATGAATGCAATGTAAAAAGAATATTTTGAATTTATCTGGATGAGTGTAAAAGAAATGTATGTGATTACTTCTTTTGTTTGATTTGATGTAAAATAGATGTAATGTACATTGAAAAAGGTAGTGCTTGGTGACCGATATTGATAGCAGTGGTGGCCAAGAGTGAGCAATGGTGATGGTGGCCGGCAGCGAGCGGCTACAATGGTGGCCGGAGGCAAGCGACAGGCAACCAGCCAGCGTTGGTGGCTGGCAGTGGTACTGATTGGCGATGGCGGTTGGCAATGGTAGCTGGAGGTGGCGGTCAGCTGTGGTGGCCAATGGCGGTTGAGCGGTCAAGCCGTGTCAATTGCAATGAATTT